ATGGAAATAAGATTGGAAAATTATTCTCTTGTGTTTGATTGCTTCTATAGGTGTTCTAACCCTTCTTCAGGTGTCCTCAACTTGTATTTACATGTTGGAATGTTGTTGTGGCCGTTTCTAGCCGTTGGAGGTGTTTTGGAGCCGTTGGGGATCAATTTTCGTGCAAAATAAAACTGCTCAGAACAAGGGGTATCGGTACTACCTTTGTTTATAGTTAAATCAACTAGCCATTACTAGCTGTTGGGGCCTGATGGTATCGATACTATGCCTATGGTATTGATACTATTATACAAAGTAGTATTGGTACCCCTTTGGGTATCGGTACCATTTTTGCATACTGGAATCTGAGCAATACTGGTAGTATTAATACTATCCAGTGAGTATCGATACTTCCCTTACCTTTGGTATTTGTACCATATGAACAGTATCTGTACTATTCATGAGGTATCGATGCTGTAAGAACAGTATCGGTACTATTCATGAGGTATCGATATTGTAAGAACAATATTGGTATTGCTTGTCCAAAAAAAAAACGTTTTGTGCTCAATTCCAAGCTTTAAGGACTTTGAATTATTTTGTAAAACTTTGAAAAACTTTGAATAAATTCAATTCAAGTCCAAAAGCATTTTTTCCTAAAATTGTTATATCAAAATATAGTTCAACAATCTCTCCCTTGTTGATATAACAAAACATTTGAAAAATTATTTTTGGAAAAACTCCCCCTTACTAAAATATTTAATGAAAAAGATATCAATTGTTGAAAAATATATGAAAATGTTCAGCTCCTCCTTTCTCATTAAGAAAATGGTTTTTTTTCAAACCATACTTCTCTCCCTTTTTGTTATATCAAAAATAATTCAACTTTATGGTTCAAAAATAACATTGGAGAGTAAGTGATAAACTTGACATTAAAAATATTTGAAAAATCAAAGATCCCCCTCAAAAAGTGCATTACAAACAAAAATTGACTTTAAAAACTTGACACTTAAACAAAATTGAATTTCAACATAGAATAACAAACATGTTAGTAACACATGAAATTCAATATATCCAAGTCTAAAATATTTTATGCAATATCAATTATTGAAATTAAGTACATGTGCATAAAGCTTTCAAAAATGTTATGCATTTTGAAGAATTTGATATTAATTGTTAGAGAGATATCTTTTGCATTTAAAAACACATGCATAAACATTTAAATTTAGGTCAAAAATTTAAAATTTGTAAAATCAAAGCATTTGAAAAGTTGATATCAATTTTTAGAGAGATATCATTTGTAGTGAAAATTAATTTTGACCAAAATTCATTATGATGACCTAAAAATTATGAAAAATCATTAAAACTTTAAAATGTTCATCATAAAGTATTTTTCAACATACATGAGATTAAAAACAATGCATAATCATTTAAAATCAAAACTCATGCATGCTTAAGCAAAATGAGCAACCAAATAATATAAAAAAAGCATTAAGCTTAGAGGTTATTCATTCCTTTTTCAAGTGTGACTAGAGCATTTGAATATCTTCACTTTGATCACCATTGCTCCCACACGCCTACAAGAGACATTTAAGTAGATTTTGGTATCCAAATTGCTTTGGATCCTTAAACGTTAGTTTCAATGCCCCTTGTTCCTTTGGGAACCCATACTTGTCTAATTTTAAAATGTTTTCCTTTCTTCAAATGACAAGTATGTTCATTGTGACCATGATAATGACAATGTGAGCATTTTGTCATTACGGAACTAGATGAATTATTTAAAATGATTTATTTTTCTTTTGTTAAGCATTCAAGCTTAACTTTTAAATCAAAACATTCTTTTTCAATACTTTCAATTTTCATTTTTTGAAAGCTCTAAATCCTTTTTCAAAATTTCATTTTGGTTTTCAAAATCCATTTTAGCTTTCAAAAGAAAATCATTTTCAACTTTAAATTTAGAAATTAATTTCTTGTATTTGGAGTTCATGGTCTCAAACTCTGAAAATAATTCATCGTATGCATCTTTTAACTCATTAAAAGAATATGAATTTAATCCATTTGAGTTAGAAGATACCTCGGGCTCTTCACGAGCCATTAAGGACATCACCGTTGTAGGTTCTTCTTTCTTGTTTCCATGAAGCTTTTCGAGCTTATTCCAAAGCTCATTGGCACTTGAACAAGAAGAAACTCCTTCATTTACTTCGGGACCAAATGCACAAAACAACATGTGCATGGCCTTGGCATTAAGTTAAGCTTTATTCCGTTCTTGGACACTCCACTACTTCTTCTTTGGAGAATAGTAATTGTTCTCGATCATCTCCCATGCATCAATATCATTTAATTATATGAATAGCTTAATTAGTTTCTTCCAATGACGTTGGTTGGCTCCATTGAAGTATGGATGCTTGTTGATCGATTGGGAGTCTTCCATGTTGAACGAGATGGAGGTGGAAGCCATTTTCTCGATTGCTTTGGGAATCGGTAGAGTTTCTTCAAGGATCATGTCAAGGTTGTTAAACCTTCTAATGAGTCAAGCTCTGATATCAATTGTTGGGATTTTCAGAAGCGTGAATTGCTTAACCGAAAGGGTTGTAAAGGGGGGAATTGATAGAAATTTGTTTAGGGAGTAAGGAGAATAAAAGATAAGACAATTGATATAAGGATTTATAGTGGTTTGACTTCTCAACCAAGTCTACCTCCACTACCTTAGCTCCTCCACTAAGGATTTCTAACAAATTCACTAATTTGTTCTTTCTTTTTACAGCATCAAGAGAAAAACTTTACAACTCTCTATCATTTTCACTTGGCTAAGATAGAACCAACCCCTTTACAAAAGGAAAGAAAATGTAAACAAGAAAAACCCTTACAAGGTAGGTGTTTACAGAGAATTAAGCTCACACAAACACAATATTTACAAGAGAAATGAAAATAAGATTGGAAAACTATTCTCTTGTGTTTGATTGCTTGGATATGTGTTCTAACCCTTCTTCAAGTGTCCTCAACTTGTATTTATATGTTGGAATGTTGTTGGGTCGTTTCTAGCAGTTGGAGGTGTTTTGGAGCCGTTGGGGATCAATATTCGTGCAAAATAAAGCTGCCCAGAACAAGGGGTATCGGTACTCCTAAAGGGAGTATCGGTACTACCTTTGTTTATATTTAAATCAACTAGCCATTGGGACCTGATAATATCGATACTACTATACAAAGTATTATCGGTACCCTTTGGGTATCGATACCATTTTTGCATACTATAATCTAAGCAATGCTGGTAGTATCGATACTACCCAGTGAGTATCGATACTTCCCTTACCTTTGGTATCGGTACCATATGAACAGTATCAGTATTGTTCATGAGGTATCGATACTGTAAGAACAATATTGGTACTGCTTGTCCAGAAAAATGTTTTGTGCTCAATTCCAAGCTTTAAGGACTTTGAATTATTTTTGAAAACTTTGAATAAATTCAATTCAAGTCCAAAAACATTTTTCCTTAAATTGTTATATCAAAATATAGTTCAACAAAATTGAAGTTACATAGGTATTCTATTGTGGTATATGAACATCTGGTTCAATTTTGGTAAAAAACAGACTTGAAATGAAGGATAAATTAAAGAAATAAGAAAATTATAAAAATTGAGGGATTAAATTGAAAAATATTAAATTCATTATTAAAAAGTGAAATTGAAAGTACATATGTATTCTACGAATGTTTTAGGAGAATGTGATTCAAATTGGTCAAAAATTGACTTAAAATGAATGAGGAATTGAAAGAATAATGAAATCAATTACTAAATTATAAATTTGACAAAATACTTAATCATATTTTTGGTTTTTTGAGTAACTCGAAATTTCAAAAGTTCAACTTGACTCTAACTCAAAAAATGAATTAATAATTTGAGTTGACTCGAATGACTTAACTCGAATAACTCAAAATAAAAAAAATAATTTTTCAAGTCAAATCGAGTTTTACCTACCCTATAACCATTTATTTAGTTTAGTAGCAATGTAGCATCTCTCTCCAATCCATCTTAATACGTGTCATTACAATGATATCACTTGATCACATCTCGTCTATTTATTTCAATATAATTAGTTTTTTAGAAAATATTTTCTCATTTTTCAATATTTAGTTTGGAGAAAATAGATTGTCAATTAATTCATTTTCCTAGTTAATAGAATTTCTTTTTCATTTTTTAAAAAATGACTTATTTGATTTTTTCATAAGTTATTTTTTTAATTTTTCACTTCAAAGTATACATACTCAAAATAATATTATTTTATGTATTTAATATTATTTTATTATTTTAATACGATTTTAATAAAATATTAATTATTAAAATATATTTAATAATATAATATTATTTTTTCAGTGTTATAATAACATATATAATTATTTTATAATAATATATGATATTATATTTTTATTTTAATAATATGAGAACCGCAAATCAGAGCTGAGCGTCGTGAAAAACTATCCATTAACTCAAAATCACTCATCCAAATTCAATCCAAATGTCCATAGCAGGGAAGATCAATAAGATTTCAAATAAGCATCATCTTGATCAGTTATTTTTTTATTCTAAAATAAGCTAGACATTAATATTGATTGAGATATGATAAAATCATTAGTTACAAACAATTAACGCTTTAAAATATGGATATTTTTTACTCTAAAATGAAATATTGCGAGGCTAAAATATTCAAAAATAAAAGAGTAGAAGTCAAAGTAACTATTTAGTCAAATGTTAGGGTTTTTTTTTGTCCTAAGATGAGATGGGTCCAAAATATTCTAAAAAAGAATAAGAGTCAAAATGAATACTCAAACCTTACGGGTTAATTCCCGCATTATGCCTATATTGTAAGAAGGATACCACTCCAATTGTGTTGCAGCAAGCTCGCTCAGAATGTGTCAAATGGAAATAGAATATCAGAGGCGGATGTTCCGATTTCGGGAATTGCATTCAAGCAAACTATTTTCACTTTCCAACAACTAGAACATAAATGCACTCATCTTTAATAAAACAGAGTTTCTTAAATCGAGTAAAGAAGAAGAAGAAGAAATGCCATCAGGCAGGTTTTTTGGTTCATTGTCAACACCAAGGGTCGATGTCACAATTGACACCGGCAATCATATTTTGATTCACACTTTAGATGGTTTCTTGAAGATTGGAACTGTAATTTATACTCCATTTCCCTTTTGTTTTAGATAACTTTTCTTGTGCATTTCCATCATGTATGTACCCCATCGCCATGGCTTCATTTTCAGGTGGCAGCAACAAGGTCGATTGCAGATGATTCATTTAAAGCTATCAGTAGAGGTTTTATCGACTTCTTTTTCCCAAATTGTTTTTTAAGTGTTGTATTTGTTGTCATATTATCAACTTCTCATGGGGTAGGAACGATCCGTGGCACAACAGACTGGGCATGTTCACTATTTTTCGCAGCAAAGGGGAAAATGGTACTGCCATTAAAAGGATTAAAGATGCATTTTGATCATAATCTCGATATATAGTGATTTAAAGTTCGATTCTTTTTCAGATGTGGCATTGTGTTACAGAAGAATGCCATGATCGGAGGAGCCCTAACAGGGGCCGTTGTCTCTGCGGCCACCAGCAACGACAAAGAACGAATTGTATCGGATGCACTCACAGGAGGTGCCATTGCAACTGCCTCAGTGTTCTTAAACAACATGTGAAAACAACAGCAAACTGATTGTGCTTTATTTTCTTGCATATCAAGTATCTCTGAGTTGTGTGATCCCATTTTCCCCCTCAGTTTCCTTGGTGAATTTATCTGGTTGCAAGAAAACATGGTTGCAATGATTAAAATAACAGGATTATGCCATTGATCTCCTTCAACCACAGCTTCTTATCCATCTTACCTGTGTAGAGATTTTGAGCAGTGAAGCAAAGGAAGAGGTTGAATGCAGCTCATTTAATTTGCATGTTCGTAAATAATTTAAGTTCTGTAAGATCAATGGTTTTCCTAATAAACTGCACAATTTGTCCAGAATATACTTTCAACAATAATATAATTTCCACAATGACATACCAATTTGACCAAATGTACAAGACATTCATTCTCTTGAGAAGGATCAATGGGAAAGAATAAATACAATTAATAAGCCAAAAGGATACATGCTTTATATTTTATCTTCGAAACTGGTCAATAAGTTTCAGTAAGCTATAGGTTTCAGCATCTGGCCTCGCCCCTCCAAGAATAATCTTTTTCAAAAGATTAGGATCATAGATTTTAGCCTTCGCATAAGCTTTGATCAAAGTATTGTACACAAAAGTATACCGGGAATAGTTTGCTTTTCTAAGCTCTTCAAATAACTTCTCAGCATTCTTCACATCACCATTTTCAGCAAAAATTTCTACCATTGAAAGGTATTCTCCAGCCATGGTGTCGAACATTGGACTTTGTTGCATGTTGTCAAATCCATCCCCTTTTCTAGAGTCTTCAAGCATTCCTCCACCAGTCCCGCTTTTAAGCACCCAAGGGCAAGTTGTCGAAAGGTAATGGAATTTGGTTTGCATCCATTCATCCTCATTTCTCTGAAAACCTTGGTTGCCTTGCTTAGAAGAACATTTTTGCAGTATAAAGATATCATTGAATTGAACTGCTCAGTTGATTTCAAACCCTTTTACTGCTTTCATTTGTGTCCAAAGTTCTTCAGCTCGACTTGGCTTTCCTATCCTACCATATGCTTCAATTGCCAGAATATAACTCTTCAATCGAACATGGGGGAACTCTTGCACAGTGCCCCAAGTTCTCTCTATTTCCTTCCCTTTCCCCAAATACCCATACAATATCATTAGGACGTCTAGCGTTGACCAGTTATTTCCAGTCATAGCCTCCTCAACAGCCTCAACATAAGCTTCAGCTGCAATGTATAGCCTTGCCACTGCTTGTGCAGTAGCTAGTATGCAGTAAGATACCTCATTCGGATCAACTTCTACTTGCTTCATATCATTGAAAACCTTTACCAACCCTTCAATGTTGTGCTCGTTTGCCTCCATTTTCATGAGAATATTGTAAGTGGAGACGTGTCGAGCCACCTTATCTGCATTTGACTTAGAATTTTCAGAATAGTTTTCCTACGTCCCGAAGATGAATGGCGTGTCTTAATTCCCTCATTTTCTTCATGTACTCGAGTGAAAGCCTTATCAGGCCTTTATCCAAGCATGCAATCACAAGATTACAACTCATTCTGAAACTCCTGAGGGACACAACTAAATAGCTTTTCGCCTTGTGATATGCCATGAAGTTTAGTTGTAAATTCCAAATGGTAAGAGTAGTCTAATTCTTTCAGCCGATACGGTCTCTCTCTAATCACCCATTCTATCACCTAGTAAAAGTAATTAAAATTTGAGAGTTAGATCCACCTATTCCCCAACATCATAAGTACAAAAGTGCACACAATTCTAAAGGGTCACACAGATTGCCATCTTGGTTCCAAAGCTAACAAATTTATAAACACACACGTACATTTATTTGTTTGTTTACAGGGATGGACTCAGGACTTTATGTTAGAGGTGAACTTATAAAATTCTAGGGGGCGAAATCAGATTATCAGTAGAAAATACAAATAAACTATGGGACGACCACCCCCGGTCCATCCCGGTTTGTATGTAGGGAAATGCTTAACGGATGAAGATGAAATGTCTTCTTTGTTCTAACATAGTAATCAAGCATGGGCAAGCTAACAATTCAACGTTGTAAATTAAGTTCTTCAGCATATGGGTTTTCGAAAGGAAGCAGGAAATCAAATATTTACATGAAAACCAGCTTATTCATTTGAAATATTTGAGATTAAGCCTCTTCAGTTTTCGGACTATCATTTCTTTCTTCTTAACTTCTTAGCAATCAATAAATAAATAAAAATAGACTAATTTCAGAGAGAGAAATTTACCTCAAGAGCTTGTTTATTCAATTTAAGTTTCCTCAAGCGATTAATGGCGCGAAAAATATCACCCCTGTGAACGGGAAATCCATCAGCCATCCAGCTTTTAAACGCTAACCCACAGTTTCTCCTTTAGGGAGTCTCTCGATTCTCAATGATAAACATTTGGGGTTTTCTTGTTCGGAATCCGAAGCTTGTGTTTGAATTTGATCAGCTGTTGTGGAACACATAAACTTGAGAGAATAGGTGTACCTACCAAGTGTTCGATGTATTGCTTGAAAGAACCTACGGTTTCGCAGCAAAATCAGTGTTTACATGCTTCGGCTCTGGAGTTTCTAGCCAAAGAATAAAATTTTATTTTGTAGCTTTTTTTGGTAAATATTGGGCTGCCCCTTTCAAGACCGAAACATGATTGTTTTCTCTCAAGCTTGAGTTTCTAACTCGAACACCGTTTGTAAGTGTGTATGAATATTAATTGTTATATAGTTAAAAGTCTCTTTAAATATATATTATTTTATAATCCATCGTTAAATCTTATTTTAATTAATTGATTTTGATCGTTGAAGAATAATCAACCAAATGAAATAAATACATATAAATATATTATGAAAATGTCACCTTATAGAGTTACAAAAGTCATTAAAATTATAAAAAATTATAAAAATACAAATTTGTAAAAATTCTAAAAAATCCTTAAAGTTTATGAAAGAATATAAAAGTATTTTTTAATAAATACAAAGGTTATTTGTAGAAAATTGCAGTCACTGGATTCAAGTAATTGACTATAATACTAAATTATTATTATCATATTGGTTTTATCCCATAAACAACGTAGAAGAGTTTGTTATAGAACCATTGATGAAAAACTAATTACATATATTTGAGACTATGATATATTTATGATGGGATATATTAGAAATTATGATACATTTTTTATTTAAGTTTATTAAAAATATTGTTTTAAGTATACATTGTCATAACCATTTTTTAGGTAAAACAATTATGTATTATTTTAAAAAACGATTATGATTTTTATTTGGAAAATTTGAGTATTTTGGATTAATTGGAATTAAATCGAATAGGAGTCGCCATCGACCTTTGAGTTAGGTAGGTCGAATACCTAAAAACGTCTTTTAAAAACATTTTAAGAAAAATCGTTTTTAAAATAAAAACCCGGTCTGCGTTTACAAAGATTCGATTAAAATGAGTTTGGGAGTCGATTACGCGCGGGGAAGGATTAGCACCCCACAACGCCCAAAAACCGGTACTTGATCGCTTACGCGTTGTCGTAAATGGTGGAAATGATGAATCGAATATAAAGTTAAATTGTGATCTATTTATCGAACATTGATTAATTTGCTTCGAATTAAATAAATAGAGGAAATTCTTTAAATCGAAAAGAAATCTCAAAATTAGCAATCCTCCGTCGGGAAAGCTAACTCGAATATTTCTTATCAGTATTAAATATTCCCTCGTCATTGATTTTAAAAATACGAGTCGAATATAAATTTAATATTGACATTTGCTTAAAATAACATAAAGTGCTATTTAGAAACATTCATTGTATCATTTGAATTAAAACCGATTAATTAGCACGAAAAATAACTTCAATTTATTTCAAGCTCCCATTTCGTTCGAACGTCGTATCGGATTGCAACACTTCGATTAAGTGATACTTTCCACGCCCGTTCTACAAATGTAGTTCTCGAAGATATTCATACAATATTTAAATAAAGAAATACATTGGAAACAAATATAAATAAAATATATGAAACAAAATATTTATAACATATAATGTTAAACATATTTATTCACATATGATATAAATAAATACATAACGTAAAAATATGTACATACAAAAAGGATTGACATAGACCCAAATCAATATTATAATTACCAAATAAATGATCAAAAAGTAAATATTTATAATTACAAGGATTAACATGGTAATAATAACAACTTAAAGAGCTAAAACAGCAAAAATAGAAAATTAGAGGACTAGAAAGTAATTACAAATAAAACAAAGCTCAAATTACAAATATTAAATAATACAAGTATTAAAAATAAAAATAACCCATAAGTAATAATTAGGACTAAATTGAAATTTCACAGAAAAATGGAGGGTTAAAAAGTAATTAAACCAAAAATGCTAAAACAGTGACTGAAATAAAATATTTACAAATGTGGTGGCCAAATTCGAATAACACAAAGATTATAAAATACATGGAATCAGTGATCAAATTAAAATAGTCGAAAATATTAAATCCAGAATCAAATATAGAAAAAAATGATATAAACATGGATAATGACTAAAATAATAAATTTACAAATACCATGGCTAAATTCAAATGTTAACAAAATATGATAACACATTAAATTAGTGACTAGAATTAAGTAATCACAAATAATATGAACAATATCACATATAAACAAACATGGTAAAATAAACAATATAGTGGCTTAAATATAAATGTTGAAATGTAAGTGCTCGAAATCAAAGAAAATGAGACTTCATTTAATGGTTTAATAATAATATTACAAGATCAAAGGGACTAAAAGTGTAGTTAGCCCACACACAGAAAACAGATAACCCTTTCCCCTAAATGCTGTCGTTTCGCAGGGGATATTAAAGTCCTAAAATCGGGCTTGCTTACCCTCATTCTCAGCTATTTAAGAAACCAGAAGGGGGAGAGTTCATTCAAACTCTCCCCAGCCGTAACCCATGTACGCCCCAGCCACCATACGTGGCAAAACAAAGCCCCGGCCACCGTGAATCGGTGGCCACGGGGATCCAAATGCCCCTGCATTTTCTCTTTTATATTCTAAAACAACCCCTCCATTACCCTAAAATCAAATAAAACCCCTATTCAAACCCTAAATCT